CCTCCACGATGGCGACCAGATAGGGGGGCAGCTGGAAGTAGTTCAGCGTCTCCCTGATCCGGCCCCAGGGGAGGGAGTTGAAGGCGTTGGAAATGTCCAACGCCACTGCAACTACCACCTCCCCGTCTGCCACCATGGACTCCGAGAGGCCCCTGACACGCCTAATTGCATTGACAGTGGATCGGGCCTCCCGGAAACCATATTGGTCTGGCGATATATCCGGACCATCTCCCTGGGATAAGTGTCGGACGAGGCGGTTCGAGATGATTCTCTCAAAGATTCTCTTTTACTGACCTCGTCCAGCAGGCAAATCGGCCTATACGCGGAAGGGCTTTCCGCGGGCTTGCCCTCCTTGCGCAGGAGGACAAGGTTGGCCACCTTCCATGGCTGAGGGAACCTTCCTTCCCTGAGGCACCTGGTAAACAGGTGCCTCAGGCGGTCATCAAGGTCATCACTCGCCAGGACTCAGGCGTGACTCGGCACACCGTCCGGGCCCGGAGCCTTGGGCTTGCCCCTCAGGGCCCGGACGGCGCGGTCCAGTTCCAACCTCGAAACCTCTAACTCCTCCGACCACCCCTCCACCACGGAGCAGTCGCCGCGCGGGGGGATCTCCCGTTCCCTGGTTGGAAACAGAGCCCCCACCACGCCGTCGAGGAACCAGGGTTCCAGGGTCTCCGTCAACGGGGACGTCCACGATTTCAGCTTGTTAAGTACCAAGCGGTAGGGACGCCTCCACGGGTCTCTGTCCAGATCGGCTATTAGCTCGGCCCAGGCCCTGGCCTTCTCCTTTCGGATCGCCAGACGCAGGGCGCCCCGTGCGGCACGGAGTGCCTAGTACGATTCGGCGATTTCCTCCACATCTCCGCGACGCCGGGCGCGCGTGTAGACCCTTCTGGCGCCGGAGATCGGCGATCTCCTCCGTCCATCAGTGCGCGGCCCGGCGACGGGAGGGATCCGGGGCATAGACACATCACATGCGTCCTGTATTATCTCCCGGACCCGCCCGACCTCCTCCTCGAGGGAAACCTCGGACAAATCCCGGCCATCGTCAGCCCAACAGCCGACCACCACGGCCGCTTGGAACCTGTCCGGGTCCATCCTTTTTATTGCCCATCGACGTGCACCGGGCGCAGGGCCGGCCCTCGCGGGCGTCAGCGGTGTACGGACAGCGACCTCCATCGTAATAACACGATGATCGGAGAGATCCTCCATTTCGGTCGCCACCCTCCAGCCCTTCTTCGGTGTCCTTCGATTCCTTCTCAAGCCGTTCGGCTCGCTTCCTTTTCGCGGTCATCTTCCTCTCAGCGGCGGTGAATTTACCCTCATGAGAGGGGTCTTTGGCCGGCCTTTTCTCCGCGGGGCGATGCTCTCCTCTAAGGCGACAACAATCGAGTTTTCCTCGCTGTCCTCCCGGTTGCTATCATCGCTCTGGAAATCAGCCTTTCGCTTTCCCAGCTGGGAAGCGCTGGCCATCGACATGGCCGATGACCTGGAGGCGACGGAGCTCGACCTGGATTGAATTTTGGTCTCCGCCCGGCTCTTAAATGAGGCCGGGCCTGGCCTAGCGAAAACGGTGGAAGGTAGGCGAGACCCTTCCGACTCCGGCATTCCGGAGCCACCAGCGGGTGTTATCTAGCTTTCTTCTGTTGTCAGCTCTGAAGGAGCTACCTTCTCAACGACGTTAGAATTTAAGAAACTCATAACTCGTTTCAACCCCACCACCAGTCACGGCTGCGAAGGCCAGGGCATGCCCTTAAGACCCCGAGTTCCCCCGGGGTGCCAACATATGCCACGAGCCGAGGAATAATGCATCTCGGCGCTGGGCTCCAGCCCCCTACTTGCCGAAGCTTTCGGGGGTCCCACACCTCCGACAATGCGGGCAGTGTGACAGGCGCCGCTACGCGGGGGGCCCCACGGACGGATGGGGTGAGGTCGCTACGACCCGGCCCCACCTTGTCCGCCGTGGCGACCAGCTACCGTCCGTGTTCATAAGTCGCGGCTTTATAGTGACGCAGTCACCACAATCAAAGACCTACTGCATCGGCCCTACTTAGAAAATATCGCCAAGGCCCTAACACGGGCGCCCCGAATGGCTAACGAGCCAGTTACGGCCCGGATTTGGTCCGCGGCTGCTTATTCCCCCGAAGGGTTATTCGCAGCTAACCTTCTCTGAAGGCCATGCCCCAATCCGCCACCCGATGACGCGCCTGGTTGCGGTTTACTCCGCTCTCCTCGCGGGTTGGGGCTGCAGGCTCAGTGCCATACACCCGTCCGGGGAGCCAGGAAAAGTAATATTCCTTATCTCGTGACAGGGAAAGAAAAAAATAATATTTCTTACCCCGTGATAGGGTAAGGAAAATTAAACATTTCTTACCCTGCGGCAGGGTAAGTAAAAAATAATATTCTTTACCCCGTGATAGGGTAAGCAAAATTAAAAATTGCTTACCCTGCGGCAGGGTAAGTATAAAATAATATTCCTTACCCCATGATAGGGTAAGCAAAATTAAACATTGCTTACCCTGCGGCAGGGTAAGTAAAAAATAATTTTCTTACCCCGTGATAAAGTAAGCAAAATTAAAAATTGCTTACCCTGCGACAGGGTAAGTAAAAAATAATATTTTTTACCGCGTGATAGGGCAAGCAAAATTAAAAATTGCTTACCCTGCGACAGGGTAAGTAAGAAATAATATTCCTTACCCCGTGGCAGGGTAAGTGAAAAGTACTTTCCCTTACCCTGTGGTGGGGTAAGTAAAATATAATATTCCTTACTCCTTGGCGGGGTAAGTGAAAAATACTCTCCCTTACCACGTGGCAGGGTAAGTAAGAAATAATATTCCTTACCCCGTGGCGGGGTAAGTAAGAAATAATATTCCTTACCCCGTGGCGGGGTAAGTGAAATATACTCTCCCTTACCCCGTGGCGGAGTAAGTGAAAAAGGGAGCGTCCCGTTTGACCACGTCCCGATTGACCACAGCCACTCACAGCGGCCGGTGCCTAGAGGTTTTCCACTGTTCAAGCGCTGTGAGTGGCTGGTGGTCAATCGGGTATCACCCAGTGAAAAATCCTCTCCCTTACCCCGCGGCGATGTAAGTGAAAAATACTCTCCCTTACCCCGTGGCGGGGTAAGTAAGAAATACTATTCCTTACCCTGTGGCGGGGTAAATAAGAAATAATATTCCTTACCCCGTGGCGGAATAAGCAGAAATTAATTTTCCTTACCCCGCGGCCGGGTAGGCAAAATTAAAAATTGCTTACCCCGCGGCGGGGTTTGTAAATAATAATTTTTCTTACCTTGCGGCAGGGTAAACAAAATTAATAATTGCTTACCCCGCGGCGGGGTAAGTAAAGAATAATTTTCCTTACTCCGCGGCGAGGTAAGCAAAATTAAGAATTTTTTTATTTTTATTTTTATTAACGTGGTGGTAAATCTTCGAAAGATCCCTGCGCCTGTGACAGGGTAAGTGCAGGATTCAACGGGTAATCGCAAGCCGGTCGCCTACTCCCATCGCCTACCTGCTAAATTCACCACGGGAGGATGACCTAACCCGATCTCACAATGAAGGTGGCCCCGGGACCGCTGGAGAGCACTACTTCAAGGCCCTTGGGGATCATGGGAGCTTTTAGGCTCTCTTGTCTTTCAGGCTACAGCAAAAGATATGTTGCTATTCATATGGAGAAGAAAACAAGCGGAAAACTCAGAAATTTTCAAAGCCTTCAAAATGGGGTTGAGATTTGCTAGGCAGGTTTTAGCATAGAAAGGCTATTCTTTATCTCACGAATCATTTGATATCAGATCCTGTTCTATGATCTGCGCTTTTTTAGCTCGTTCTGCCTCTTCCTTTTTCAGCATGACTTTTTCGCAGAACTTTCCAAAAGCCAGCCACTTTTCATGTGATTCGAGTATCGCTGGGAATATTGTGTCCAATGCGATGTCCGGTCCCACCGCTTCCACCAGTTCCTCTCTTTCGGAAGCCCATGCCGGACATGTTCTCAGCGTATGCAAGTTCGTGTCGCATAGGTCTGCACAAAAGGAGCAGTCCTGCGACGGCGCCCTCTCAATACAATGCAGGTAGAAGTAGAAGCAACCGTGGCCCGATAGTATTTGCGTCATCCTATACGTTAGATGTTTGTGAGTTCGTTTGAACCAGATGTGAAGGACTGGTACCAGGGCCCTTCTAATATCAACCGCAGTTTCGCTTATTCTCCTATAAGCCTCTGCCCATTTATTTAATGCCGCATCTAAGGCCTTCGTTCGGATGAGATCATGTATTCGATTGGTAATTGGAACCCCTCCGTCTGTCCTCTGGACAGCTCGAGTTTCGAGAAATACCTCTCGGTATCTATCTGCCAGGAATTCAACTGGCATCGTTCTAGAAAGAAGAAAAGCCGTCTGATATGATACCGTTTTGTATGCGGCTATCACTTGTAGCGCTATCCTACGTTGTACCGCCCTTATCTTGTCACCGACTTTCCGATTTACATTCAGGGTGGGGGCCATACTGGAGCGCCATAAAAGATGACCGAGTGAATAACTGCACTGTACAACTGACTGACATGTTCGTTCGGCTCTCGCAGATTTGGCATGAGTTTAATCAAAGCGAGAGACAGCCTCTCCGCCTTGGGTAGAAGCTGGGTGAAATGCTTTCCAAAGGTCCATCTTCTACTAAGTGTAAGTCCCAGATATTTTAAGTTGGAGTTTAAGGATACCATCTCTCCCTTGACAAGCAAGAACCCGCAATGTACGAATCTGTGCGCTTTGGAGAATACGCATGCCTCAGTCTTCTGGGGAGATATCCTCAATCCAAGTTTCTCAATGTGTCTAGTAATAATAGCGACACCATATTCTGGACGGGCGCTAGCTATCTTTAAAGAGTCCCCTATCGCGACTATGTATAGGTGTATCATCAGCATAGCATAGGACATGACAGTCCTCCTCCGGCATAATCTGCTTGAGTATTTCGTCATATGTGAAGATCCATGCTTCTGGGCCAAAGGCCGAACCCTGCGGGACTCCACATGTCATTGGGACTTTTCTGACGCGACCCTTTGCATCCTCAAAACAGATCCACCTATTCGAAAGATAACTCTCCACAATGGTTCTCAAATAATTGGGGACTTTTTTCGCAACAAGAGCTTGCCAAATCCTTTCCCAGGGGAACGAATTGAATGCATTGGAAATATCCAATGATATCGCGACGCCGACTCGTCCCCCCTCGTATACTGGTTCCAGTATCGCCCTCAAACGTAAGAGGGCGTCCACTGTGGAACGCTGTGCGCGAAACCCAAATTGGTGGGGGGACAATCCCACACCCGTAGATACGCTATGTCTGATTCGTTGGATGATGATTCTCTCGAATAATTTCCCCATCTCGTTCAACAAGCAGATCGGCCGGTAGGATAAAGGGACTGAGAGAGATTCAGTATCCGACGCTACCTCCCAGTGGCGTATAAGCGGGAGGGCCGCTGGAGAGGCCCTTCCGCTTATACGCCACTGGGAGGTAGCGTCGGATGCTGAATCTCTCTCAGTCCCTTCATCCTACCGGCCGATCTGCTTGATGCGTCGGATGCTGAATCTCTCTCGGATCATAAATATATTATTATTGAGCTAGGACGATCGGCAACAGTTACGACGGGCCTGACCTCCAGGACTTTTACTAGGTGGAATCAACGTAGCTACACACGTAGGAGTGTGGCTTTTGTTCAGCAATCTCAGGTCCAATAAAGACGCCCATTCGAAAAGGACTCTCTCGCGCAGTAAGGTGTTTGTCGTCCCATATGTGAGATCTTGCATTAAAATCCCCTAGGATTAATAAGGGCCTACTTAAATAATTCCTGACCGTCTCACTAATCGAGGTAAGGAAGGCACGGAACTGATTCATGGTTTTATTCGGCGAGAAGTAGCACGACACAACCACGATTCCGTTCCACAAGACAGTTATAAAGTCTGCTCCTCCGTTTAGGATGGAAGTCGATCTTGGGGCCGCAGGGTCCTGCCAAGTGGCAGCTGCCATCGGCGTGGCCTCTGTAGAACGCGCCCACCTGTCATCATTCGGCACTCGATTTGGCTTAGAGATGCACGCCAGGCCGCAATTTTGCTTGAGCATCACCTGTAAGAGAAGGTCCTGGGCATCCCTGGACTTATTCAGGTTGATTTGGATAATGTTTGCCATTTCGAGCAATTCCTTGTTCGTCAGCGGCAGTTCTCCGATATGCCACATCCCTCAGGCTTCTGTTTGGACTTTTACCCAGATTTCTAGGTGGGCACGGGGGACAGATCTCCAACCCAGCCCTATGATTGTGGGGCAAGCCCCGATCTTTACATATTGGACAGCTAGGCGGCCTCCCACAGTCCCGAGCCTTGTGTCCCGCGTCGCCGCAGTTGAAGCAGCTTAAGATCCTGTCAGCTTCGCTGGGACACCTCTCCTGTACACGTTCTACAGCGAGGCACTTATAGCATTGCAAGGATCGTTTTTTCAGAAGATCGACCCTCGCCGTGGACCATCCTATACGTAGCTTGCCCGCCTGCACCAGACAGAGGGCCGCATCCAGCGGGCACTGCACCCATACCGATTTAAAACCATTACGAGTGATTCTGGCCTAGCCCAGTCTAACACTATCCAAGGCGCAGCTTCCAGATTTGGATATTGCCTCCGTCATTTCCTCTGGGGAGACTGAGGCATCCAAACCAGAGAGCCGGAGTTCACCTCTCCGGGAAGGCCTCGTAACACGAATCCCGGTGTCCCGACATGTCTCTCTTAACTTCTCCGCCAGGACATCCGCCTTTGAAGACATGTCCGAGCCCGGCAGCTTAATAAGAACTCCGCCGGCAACCGTGTTCCGCATCCTGGTGTTATTTATTCCCAATTCTTCCAAGATGATCTTGTCTCGGGCTTTTCAAATTACCTCGGCATATGTCATTTCCGATGGGCACGTCACCGCTACCGCCGCTGAGCGCGGAGCGCGCCTCCGTTGAGTCCCTAAAGCTTTTCCAAATTCGAGGACAAGCCTCCGGCTAACCCCTCCAGGAGTAAGCAGCGAAGGATATTGCAATGGGTCAGCTGGGTCTTTCATCCGTTTCCCCTTCTCCAATGGAGGAGGCTGAGATCTCACCGTCGACCTTCTGGCACGTCTCTTCCGTTTTCTCTTTGAGGTTACATTGCCATGCGAAGCCCCATCATCCGTCTCCAGGGCCTGAGAGTCGATCGCCATGGATGAAGAGGTGCGTCTTTCTCCCAGGCGAACTCCGTAGGGCAGGTGTGGTCGAGTCTGCTCCTGAGGCCCACCCCATGGGGCCTCCGACGTCGATAGATAAGCCCTAATGGCGTTAGCCACTGCATCGCTAATGGTGGCAGCAAGACGCGCACAGAAGTCTTCCCTAAATGGATTAGTCATGCGAGGAGACGGAGGCCTGCTCCCTCTAGTCAGGCTCTCGATCGCGAACTGCTTCTCCTCGTCATCCATTCCGCTACCGGGGACATCAGGTGATGGTCCAGGGAGCGTCCCGTTCTTCATCCCAAGTAAATTTCCACCGCTATCAATCGGGGTAATTCCGGATTCCAGATCGGCATTCCTGAACCTAAGTTTCTAATTCTTTTCTCTGACTCCTATGATTTCTTTTTGCAGATCCTGCATTTTTGCTTTAATAGCCGATATATCCTTCCAAGGAAGCCCTCATAGCAAGAATCTTTAATGCCTCCGCTGTAGCGCTGACGTTCACCTTCATTGTTCTAGATACCTTTCCGCTTATGTTTGTTGACTTTTTCCGGCATTCTTCAGTTTCGTTCATCTATTCGGTGGCTAGCGCGGCGATATCAGTCGAGGAAAGATGTTCTATTTTCCCAATAAGCGAGTTCACCGCTGCTCTCTGTGATCCGTAGAGTTTACTGATCGGTGGATTCTCCTCCGAGTCCCCAGCGGAAGAGATTGATTTCTTCCTCTTTTTCCTTACAGAAGATCGAGAGGAGACGGAGCTCCTCCTAGAACCCGTACCGGTCTTATTAGTCATCCTTTCAGTGTCTGGATGCATCGGCGCTGATGGTCTGGCTAGCTCCCCGATATCCAAGGCGGTCACGAATTCCATCTCGGGTGTTCCCGGACGGCTGTTACTTTTGATCTTCTTGGCTCCAACAGTGGCAATTGGTCTAGCCGCCATGTTATCATCATTTCTATTTCCCTCCCCGACAGCCGTAGACTCTTCACCGCTCGTGCCTGGGCCTAGCCCACAGCGCGCTGGGTTAATGTTCGTCCGCTCCATACCAACGATAGCCGGCCTGGATGAGGGGCTCGTTGTTGACACTCCCATCCCACTCCCTTTGCATGCTGTCGATACGGGGGGCCAGGGACAAGAATCCTCCTCGCGCCGTTCCTCGAAGTTCCGAATCCCCGAGGGTGTTTTTCCATTCTTTATACTGGCCATATTATAAGTAGAAAATAGGCTTTTTGTCAAGAATAGGCCCACTCTTGCCCCAGATGACCTGTCTGTACATAGAGAACTCCAGACAGGAGGAAGTGGATGAAGATAAAAAAATCGATGCCTATTATCTAAGGCCCGCCCGAGGATCTTACGTTTTAATGTAAGCTTGACACCACACTAGACCTCAGCAGAGATCGAATATTTTATCAGTGTACTCCCTCGTATATATTATTGTCTTACGTCTAAGTTTCTATTACTTGAAATGACAGATATTATTATATAAGTGTCCTTCACCAGTGTTTCATACGTAGTTCCGCCGAAATCTGTAGTGGTTCCTAATGCGTACATACACGTAGGGTCGTGCACGACAATATCAAAGAGGTAAATATTATATGCGTGAACACGCAGCACCTGGGTGCTTACAAACTTGCCGCCAACAGGCGACATAAAATATGCGTACAGAAGAGTTGCCATCTCGGTCGACGTGGCGGACGAACGAGTCATCCGGCCATCCCCGTCGATCTTCGGCTCCCGCTTCCGGGATTCTCCAATAGAGGATCGAATCCACGCATCCGATAGATGCGTGGGGAATCTCGGGATCGGGATGAGGCATTCGTCTTCCGGCCTCTCTGAGAAAACGTCGTTTGTCAGAGAACGTTAAGAATTATCGAGACTCGACTCAGGGCATTGGCCCCTAGGCGTTGTCGAGACTCTCGAATTATACGTGCAAAGGGGACATTTTACGTGTTAATTATTGTGACTGTATCCAGACGTTTGTTCGAAATATATCGTTGCTGAAGAAAACACACACAGTTATTGACCTACATAAACGACAAAACAATTTGGTGCTTCCTGTGAGGTCCATGGAACCCCACATACGAGTTTGGATCTCACACGAAAGAGTCAGCCATATTCCGAAGACTGACGCTTCTGGACGCTTCTGGATTTCACAACCATACAAGAGTAAGTTATTCGATTTCTACTCATCACGAAACGAACAACAATGGCTGACAGAATAGATCGGAAGAGC